CAGGTGCTGTGTGTAGACATCGCCACTGGGGAGACAAAGGCGTCCGGCCATCGTGCTGGCCACCCACTCCCTCGTGTGCCGTGTTAGGTACTCGCTAACAACACTTGCCCCTACAGTCTGTGCATCGGCAGGTGTGTATTGTCTGCGTGTGCGTGCGTGTGTCTTTCTGTCTGCGTAACCGAGTACGTGTATTATCTGTGTGTTATCTGTGTGTGTCTATGTGTGTGTCCCTGTTGGCGTCTGTATGTCTGCGTGTTCGAGTCTGCATCTGCAAGGTGCGTGTCTCTGCGTGCGCGTAAATACATTTGAGGCTTGCGTCCAAGCACAGGTTAACGAAGGAGAGTTAAATTGTTTTCCACCAATTGCAGAGGAAGTAATGCACATCTTGGCTGGCTGACATGCATTAAAGAGCCCTATAAACTGAAATGTTAATCCCTCTTTCTCAACAATCAAAAAAATCTTTACGCTCGCTTTACGTAACACACGGAGGCATAGATCTCCGTGCAGCCTCATTGGCAGCCGAGCCAATCGCTGTTAGCGTGCACATATTAAGGCTGGCTTGGCACCAGGGGAGTAGTAACACGGGCAGCGCAACGTACACGCTCGGCTGCCTTTGTCTCCCCAGCTAATGACGTTCACGGAGCAGGCGCCCGTTTCAGGCTAAGCCGACCGAGAGGAGGCGTAGGCCAGATCCAGGAATTCAACTCCCAGGTCGCCGGGATCGTAGTGTCGCTCGTGTCCGTACCCACAATGCCGCCACCTATTTATGAAACCCCTTGCAAGGGGGCACCCTGTCTCGTGCTTATCGCAGACGTGTATCGGCGATGGCTCTCACTGACGAGCGTCCGAGTACAAAGCGGTCTCTGATGGAGATGCAGGTTACCGCGTGTGCTTGCAGTAAACACAGTTACGTGATATTATTATTCACTGAATGTATCTGCTTTGCCGTGGCATAAATATGTTTTACATAGGAAGCACTGGGGGTTGATCGATTCCGCACCTCCGATAAGCACGTTTGGCCAAGTACGGCGCGAAAGAAGTTCAACGCGCATGCGTGTGTGCCCGCCGAACATTCTCCGAATTCCGTGTATCACAAGCGAATTACACATTGAGAGGCGATTAAAAACTGCTCTCTGTAAACACGGAGTGCTTTTTGCCGCGTTGCGGGGTAATGAATCCGAGCTCCGAGTGAGAGCGAGACCCCCCCCCCCTCCCCCACACTGTGCCCCACACAACAAACGGCCGAGGGAGACCTTGCGAGGAAAAGCCATCAAGTCCCGCTCAGTTTTTATCTTCGTTTTATTTATTTTTCCTCCTTAAGAGCCTTACAGCACGCGCCGATTTGTAAACAAATCTCAAGTAATTGCCTGCACCGCACCTGTGCCTACACGACCAATGGGACACAGCGGGCCAGTCAAAACCGACAAAAAAAGCCCTCTGCAGCCAGCCTTAATTACACGTGAATTAATAATTAAAAGCAATAACCTTAATTGAAGGCGCGCCTGCTTTAAAAAATCTACGGAACAACCCATTTCCTCCCTTCCTTAACTGCGTCATTCCTTAAATGCCGCCGCTTCAATGTCCAATAGTCGAGGTTTTAAATCGCGCGGGTTCCCCCCCCACCACCGCCACCCACCAATCCCCCCCCACCAACCACCCCCCACCAACCACCCCCCTCTCTCTTCGTTTAAGCTCCTTTGAGGTCCATTTTGATAAACACTTGGGCACTAAAGAGCGCGATCCGCCCACGGTCCACGGGTGTCAAGGCGCGTAATCCGCCTCCCTCCTCCTCCTCCTCCCGTCCCCTCCCCCACTGCCCCCCCCCCACCCAGCGAGCCCCCGCAGAGCGGCAGCTAAACGCGACGCGATTGAAGTCGTTTAAAGGGAGCAGCAGCGGCAGCAGCGGCAGCCGCTTTCTCTGTGCCGCGTGCGCGCAACCCGCACGCAACCCGCACGCAACCCGCACGCAACCCGCACGCAACCCGCACGCAACCCGCACGCAACCCGCACGCAACCCGCACGCAACTCGCACGCAACCCGCGCGGAACTCGCACGCAACCCGCACGCAACCCGCACGCAACCCGCACGCAACCCGCACGCAACCCGCACGCAACCCGCACGCAACCCGCACGCAACCCGCACGCAACCCGCACGCAACTCGCTCGCTGTGTGCGCACGCGGTTCGACCAGACCGCTCGGTGCTCCCACGGAGCTGGGGGAGAGTGAGGTGGGGGGTGGTAGGGGAGTGGTGTGGAGGGGGGGGTGGTGTGGAGGGGGGGGGTGGTGTGGAGGGGGGGGGTGGTGTGGAGGGGGGGGTGGTGTGGAGGGGGGGGTGGTGTGGAGGGGGGGTGGTGTGGAGGGGGGGGGTGGTGTGGAGGGGGGGGGGTGGTGTGGGGGGGGGGGGTGGTGTGGAGGGGGGGGTGGTGTGGAGGGGGGGGGGGTGATGTGGAGGGGGGGGGTGATGTGGAGGGGGGGGGGGGGTGATGTGGAGGGGGGGGGGTGTGGAGGGGGGGTGGCGTGGAGGGGGGGCAGATCGGGGGGAGGAGGGGGGGCAGATCGGGGGGAGGAGGGGGGGGCAGATCGGGGGGAGGAGGGGGGGCAGATCGGGGGGAGGAGGGGGGGGCAGATCGGGGGGAGGAGGGGGGGGCAGATCGGGGGGAGGAGGGGGGGGCAGATCGGGGGGAGGAGGGGGGGCAGATCGGGGGGAGGAGGGGGGGCAGATCGGGGGGAGGAGGGGGGGGGGCAGATCGGGGGGAGGCTCGATCGCTCGCTGCCGCGTGAGCGGAGGAATGGCCGGGATTCGGGATTGCAGAATTCTCCGGGAGAGCCTTCGCAGATACGTCGCGTGTGCTTCACGCGCAAACAAAGGCACGAAGACAAAGATCCCCCGTATAGCCTTAAATCAGTGTTGGGGCAAGTGCTGTTCGCTAATAGCACCTATGAAGGCCGGCACGGCAAACGAGGGGGTGGGTGGGTGGCCAGCACCACGCCCGGCCGTCTTTGTCTCCCGAGTGGCAATGTTTGCACACCGCACCAGGTACCGTACTCATTTGAGGCTGAGTCAACCCAGGGGACACACACACATGCGCGCAGGCAGGCAGGCAAGCAAGCGCGCATGTACATATTTGCGCACGCGCGCAAGTACGTGTGCACACGGCCCATTGAAATCGAGCCGAGACCCCCGCAGGATTCGCGCAAATCACTGGACCCTGAAGAATCCTCACAAATATATCACGGGCGAGTCATTTAAAACGTATCTCCCTAAACGAAACACGTCTACACATCCCTGCGCTGAATAATCCACGCGAATATCCACGCGCACGATTTCCCCCCTTCCACCCCGAACGGCGCACACGAACATCACCGTCGCCAAATAAAGACGCGCAATTATCCCTAGCGACGAAAATAATTTGTATAAATATACCTACCACGTGACTTTACCGAAAGAACCAAAGAGTATGGATTCCTGCAGTCACGAAAGCTTCAAATCGAGATAGAACAGTAATAATGTATAGTCCCCTTTGTAAATACATGATTCTCATGATGATGTGTGGTTCATGGGGGGGGGGGGAGGTTGTTGTTTGACCATACTTCGCCGCCACACTGATCAATACGGGTCGGTGAAGGTGGAGAGAGTGGACGGCGCAGGTGCCGGTTCGGATTCATCGCTCGCCACTGATGTTAGCCGTGATTGAGAATGGAATTCTGGTAGGCAGGTGCATAGTTCAGTGAGCTAACCACAGTGGCCTCTCTGTTCTAGCCCACCACACACACTTCGCAAAAACACAATCAGAAACCGCCCACATATATCAATTCACAGCTGGATAAATACTTCCCCATGCCCTGCCAGTCATAGGGATTGTTTGACCATACTTCACCATTCATTGGGGGTTATTTGACTTAATCTACACCAACATCTCTCCTCCGGGAAAAAAACAAAAAACACCCACGAATTTCTCCTCTCGGGATAATCGCATCTCTAGCTGAAACAATCCACGCACAAACATCTGCCCCCCTCCCCTCTCCCCACCCTCTCCCCCAGCAACATGACCGCCCCCCACCCCCGTACCGCCTGCTCGTGACCTCTGCTCTACCTCGGCTTTCGCCATCGTCCGTCCGTCCCGTTTGTCCGACTTTGCGCCGCACAAAAACGCCCCCCCCCCCCCCCCCCGCTAAACTCCACCCGTCGCACTAAAGCAGATTTTTGCAAAGGGCTATTTTGCACCGGGCATTAGTGAAAGTATTAAACCATAACGGGGATGAGCTTTTGTGCTTTTCTCCTTTGTGCTGATAATTTAGCAATTGCCATTATTGCAGGTTCTGCACTTTAAACAGTTGTTATTGCCATTATTGCAGGTTCTGCACTTTAAACCGTTGTTGTTATTATTTTAAGCGGTGATTAAACAAGCGAGCGGCGGCGCCTCTGGCGGCTGAGTACAATCGGGGGTCGATTTGGAATTGGGTGATGATGATGATGTTGTTGTTGCTGTTGGGTTCGGGGGGGGGGGGACACACGACACTGGCAGGGGGTGGGGAAGCCATGGGCGTGGTGGGGGGCGAGGGGGGGGGTGATGGAGAAGGGGATGCGGCGGGCTGTACTTTTTTAATGAAAGTTTATTTGGGGCGGTGGCGGCAAAGCGATGAGCCGGCATCCTGGGTTTAAATCCAGGTTTCAGCCGCCGGGTTCTCAATTGCAGTGAGGTGGACGTCTCATTGTGGTCACCAATATCGGTTTCACCGTTATTCCTCTCGTATGCAGAGTGGGCGAGGAAGTGCTGCTTCCTACTGTGTGCACTCGAGGTCACTTGGAAGGGATCTCGGCGGTAGCTCTATGATATCCGCTTCTGTGGGCCCTTTTCTCACACAAAGGGTTTCACTGCTAGATACGAGAGATCCAAACGGATGCTTCGTCTTTGGACGTGATACAGGCGGTCACAATCGGGATTCAATTGGGGGAAGGCGACAACGGGAACCCAATGTGTTATTGGGCAAAGCCTTACCATGAGATCCTCTGGTGCCGGCCTCTCGGTTGGCAACTTCCTCATGCTGTGGCACAAAACAACACAAACGTGAACACGCGCGCACACACACGTTAATACAAAAGACAAAGACATACAACATTCCCGAGATGACGGCGGCGGTAACTTTACACGACAGTGGCAGCATGGGGAGCAACAATGGCTGGTGCCGGGGTGCACAGGAGCATGGGTAGTGTGGGGGGACTGGGAGTGTTGTGCGGGGGGCACAGGAGCATTAGTAGCATGGGGGACAGCTGGGGGTGTGGGCGAGTTGGGGAGCAAGGGAAGTATGGGAGGGGTAGAGAGAGCGCAGGGCGATCGGAGGTGACACACACGTATGCTCCACTTTCACGGTCGGCGTCCACAAACAAAACCAGGAATCACGCTTTGATCGCTCGCGCTCAAGTCAGCACGGCCGGGACACCCCTCCCCCCCCCCCGCCCCCACTCTGTAAATATATGTATGGCATGTTGAACTTCTTTCGCACCGTACGAAGCCAGCTGCGCTAATGGAAGGTGCGGGGGAAGCAGCAAGACTGAGCACGAGGCTGAGATGTGCAGAACGAGGCATGGAGGAGGGGGATGGCGGATGCGGCGGCAGCGCGGCCAGATGACAGTCAAGAGTGGGGGGCCAGGCTGGGGCATAGGAGAGGGGGGGCAGAGGGGGTGAGGGGGGAAGCCTCCCCTCCCCGCACGATGCACGCCCCCCCCCCCCCTCCCCCCGTGCAAAGATTGGCCAGGATAGCATTTGGAGCAAAGCAGGGGCGACAGACGCTCGCTCGCTCCCTCCCTTGCTCTCTCCTCCCTTGCTCTCTCCTCCCTCCTCTGCGCGCTCACACCCGAGGCCGTCGGCGTGAAAATGAATGTCACAAATGAATAGTCATTAGCCCCAGGCGAGGGTTCTCACTGCGCCGCGCCAGTAATGACAAACGACACTTAATAACTGACAGCCTCCGCTCAGACGCCGCGAATCGCGAGGGGGTGCAGAGGGCAAAGCGAAGGGTTTAGCGCTCGCGCGAGCGCCTGACAGCGTCGAACACCGGGGCTGTCAGCGGCGCCGGGCTCCTCGCGCTAAATTATTCCACGATAAAATAATTTAAAAATGGGGGGGGGGGGGGGGCGCACGGGCGGTAGGAGGGGGTGGTGGAGGGTGGCGGTACGTGGGGAAACGGCGGAGGGGGAGGATGGGGGATGGAGAGCGGGAAGGGGGAGGGCAAGGTAGGAGAGGAGGGGAGAGAGGGCGGTGGTTGGTTTAAAAATAATAATATTAAAAAATGTCCCCAATTAGTGGGAGTGCGGCGTGGGCCGGACCCGCCGAGTTCCGCGGTGAAGATTATAAGCTTTGATTCGGCACTCGCTCTCTGGGGGGGGAAGCGTCGCTATTAAGCACTGATTCGGAAATTTACACTTTCTCAGTACTTGGCGACAATTTATGAGACTCCCCGGGGGGGGGGGGGGGTGGGGTGGGGTGGCGACAGCGTTGGGGGGGAGGAAGGGGGGGCCGCACGTTGCTGACGGAGAGAGCGACGCAGCCCGGTGCCTCTCCCTCCGCCGCGTGACCCCCCCCCCCCCCGCGTGGCATGCGCCGTCAACCCCTCCCCCCACCCACCCACCCGGCTCCGCTTAATATTTATTTTGCCTCGCAGCGCATTCGCTCTAATCTTTCCGTGCTCTTTATGTCGTTATCGTTGTTGTTGCTGTTGTTGTTGTTGTTGTTGCGACGACGTAGAGGGCTGCCCATACGGATATATATATCGGCCGTTATCGAGGGCTGGTAATTAAACGGCGGTTCAGACGTGCGCGGTTGAAACGTTGGCAGCTTATTGATTATACGATTACGTTTTTTTTTTTTTACTGAGGAACGTGAATGATCTTCGACAGCCCGTAATAGAAATATTTGCAACAATCACACTGCGGGCACCTGGGACTCTCTCAAACCCCCACGTGGTACGGCGTCGTAAGTGCCGCAGCGGCCACGTGGAGGTTCAGCGGAAGGGGTCGTACGATCAAAGCTTCGAGCCATCCAGCGCGGCGTTTGTGTTTGTACGTAGTTTTCAGAAACCTGGTTCAAACTGTTTAACACGTAAGGCTCTCGCGAGCAATATTATTCATGATCAAGGTTTTTGGGTCAGATCGCCTAAGTATAAATGCGTCGTAGCCCTCCACCACCCGACACAGCTAGTAAGGTTTGCCACGTAAACAACGCGCCCATGAGTTACTACTTGAGCCCACCGGTGTGTTGGAGAGTGGATTGTGTATTTAATATGAACTAGGTCTCTTTACTCAACAATAATAATAAAGCAATTCGACTTGCAGCACGCCGCACGGCACTCGCCCGCTCAGAGGCATGATCCGCAGACGAGCGGGAAAGGAAGCCACGCAATGAGCCGCCGTCAAATTCAACCCCCCCCCCCCCCCCCAAGCTCTGCGGTCCTCCATATATTGAGGTGTTATCGGCTAATTAATGAGTGTGTGCACGTGGGAGGAAACCGGAGCGCCAGGAATAAACCCATGCGCGGGGGGGGGGGGGGGGGGGAACGCTCCGGATCCCATACAGATTGTAACAGGTGGGAGGGGGGGTCCACGTTTGCTGTGCCGCCTTCTCCTGGCGAACCAGGCTATGGCAGCTCGCCGATGCCGCTTGCGGGAAGGGAGTTTCATCACAACGTTGGTGCGATCCACCAAACCCTCGCCTCCTGGGCTACAGGCGTCCATAGCCACCACCGACTGCTATTATTATAATAATACTAGCAGTCAGTAAAATTATAGTTAAACTCAGGGGTACTGCCGCCGTCACGTTGGACGGTGGTCCAGGCTGACCGTGGAGTGGCGACCAAACGAGGGGGCGTGCCAAAGGGGACCTCCGCGGTGGAGATTGAGCAATGGAATCGGCTCGTGTGCTGGAGAGCGAGGTGGATTGCTGCCTCGCAGTGCCGCACGGTGAGAGGTGCCCGTGGCTTGGGACGGTCTTCATCCAGCAGTGTTATTGGTCATGGCCGACGATGGTTTGTGAAGCTGCACTTGCTCGGTGGATTATCACGGAGCAATGTCACTCGAGATGGCGATGGCTTTGGGAGGCTTCCTCCGGCACTGGGTTGAACGTGCCTGAGAATGATGAGAATGGTCTTAACTGCTGGCATACCGGGCAACACTGGCAACGCAGCCGGGAAGGGAGACGGGGACTGGCACCACCCTCCTGTACCGCGTACATCGCGAGCGGCAGGTCAGTTTCTTGAATCGGCGGATCGACGCGTTGTCACGCCTTGCGTGGCTGGTGTTAGCAATGAGGGAAATGAAGAGGACGCAGGGAGGCGGAACAGCATGAGGAGCAGCAGAGGGAGAGGAAACAAGGATGAGGAGGAGGGGGGGGGGAAATGATTCTCGGAGGAAGATCAACATCACCTCCCCATGGCGCGAAGGGCTCACTCACCACTGCGTGATGAAGTGCTCGAAGGGGGCACAGAACTGTCCTGCCGGTAGCGTGGGAGGGTTCTGGTTTGTGAGGGGCGGGGGGGGGTGGGGGGGGGTGGGGGGGGGGGGGTCACGGTTGGTGGTGGTGGGGGGGGGGAATGAAAGGAAGACAGAGAAGACATTCGTTAGCGGTGCAGAAAAATTAAACACTCGGTGGGAAGTCGCTCATTCTCCTGTGCTGCTCCCTTAGACTGGAACTCCCAACTCCCTTCCCCCACCAGTCCATGCTGTTGACTCCAGCTCCCCCCTGTTCAACGTCCATGCTCAAGACCTTCCCTCTTTCTCTCGAGAAAACAAATATTCCCGCTGTTTCTGTCCAGCGTCCTGAGATGCAATCGCATTTAGATGCTGCGGAAATCACCACTGCGTCGCACAGCCAAAGGCACAGAACACCGCGAATCGTGAATGTGTGGGCAACGCACGCGCAAGGGCAAAGATCCCACCGTGTTGCCTGTAACCAGCTGCTGTCGCAAGTGCTGCTTGCGAGCACCTATTAAGGCCGGGCAGGTCAGACGAGCGAGTGGCGTTGCCAGCACCACGCACGGCCGTCTTCATCTCCCTGGCGATAATCGCCACGCATCGCACCGGGTACTCACTTAAGGCGGAGCCGACCTAACGGAGGCGCGAGGCCTGGTTCGGATAACACTCGCCAACAATCTCATCCGTCGCCAGGTATCTAATCCAGATCGCAGCATGCGCCATCGTTCCCACGTCCCTCCACCCCATGAGCAATTCACCACGCGCGTTAGGTACCCGCGTGTCGTGTTGCTGCGGCGTTTAAAAAGCACGGCAGAGAATTCTCGTCGGGAGGAGAGAAAAAAAAACCCTGAAAAATGTGCACGTCACCAGCAAACGAAAAAACTTTGCGGAACAAAGATTTTTTGTGACGCGTGGCATGGGTGGGAAGGGTTGGAGGGGAGGGAGGGAGGGAGGGAAGGGGAGGGGAGAGGCACACACACATTGTACCAACTGCAAGGCTCTTCGGCCAGTGGGCTCGTGCGTGCGTTTATTCCGCGACGGGGCGACGAGTGAATTAGATGCGGGACCTCGCGCGTCCTCTCCCTGCTGACCCGCGCTCCGTCCGCTCTTGCAGGGCGTGCGCAGGAGGAGTTTTATGTCTTTGTAATTAACAAAAGACAAGCGTTCCAATCTCATGCGGCTCTGCGCTGCTGAAACCGCTTAAACGAGCGATACATCATCGCGTGCACCGCTCAGAAAGCGCCCTGGGGCAAAACGTAAAAAAGTCTTTTGGAAAATCTATGTGCGCCGTTTGAAGGAAGCAGAGTGGCGCATCAATCAAGCGGCGGCGACTAAATCGATCGTGGAAAAACGTATTTAAAGTACAACCATTTGTTTTCGTCAAAATTACATTTCTGCAACTCCGCTAAAAGAGGCAGCATTAGGCGGAGGCGTTTTCCGTCGCCTCGCAGTAGCATGGTGGGGGGTTGTGGGGGGGGGGGGGTATTTCCCATGCAAAACAGGGCCGCGCCATTATCCGTCACGGGGGCAGAATGTTACGAAGCTGCTCGGGAGATAATAGCGTCCATTACGAACAAGCGAGCAACACTTGGGAGGGCACGGCGGAAATATTGGAACATTAATCCCTCAACACTGCGGGGCTCGCGCGCCTTCCGCGCCCGACTTCTCGATTTCGCTTACAGCGTCGTGAGGGGTGCGTGGCGGGCGAGGTAGTTACTTTGCGCAATTAGCGAGCGTGCAGCGAACACCCCCCCCCCCCCCACTCCCCCACCCCAACATTCCATCCCCCGCCCCCCCCTCCCCCACCACCACTCTTCTGCCCCCGAGACCCCAAGCGATCGTGCAAGCATCTCCCACGGCTGGAATTTGCCGAGTCTGACGCCGCACGGCGCGTCGGGCTGTGGAGGAGGAGGAGGAGGAGGAGGCGAAGGCACAAGAATTGGAGCTTCCGCTGTGATTAGTAAACACACATGTCATTGCCTTTGCCAATTAGCACTCCCAATTATCAGTGAAACGAGATCAGTAATTACACACACGCGTGCGCGCACACACACGCACGTGCGAGAGCCTCGCTCGCAGTAAACGCCGTTTAGCGAGTCTCGCTTTCCCATCGGATACCAAGTTGCGACGTGTGGCGCTCGTCAGGATATTGCCACCGTAGCGTAAGGTAGCTACAGTGTCAAGTAACATTCGCATCTCTGAAGAGACGTTTGGATGGCTGAGACGGTAAAGTCCCTGTGTTCGAAGTATACTGGAACCGTTGAAACCTGGGGCCTGAGCCTCTGGGTCGCAGCTAAGCCAAAGTCTCCATCGGAACACAACCCTTTGCGACATTCCGCAGCCTAACCCACGCATCGATTACAAATCCCTGTCTTGGCGACGAAAACCTAGCACGCGTTGTATTTTGTCCTCCCGGCCTTCTGGCCTTGCAGAATTGTGTTAATGAGCAGAATTCATTTTCACGCGGAAAATGCGGATGGGATCTTGACCATTTGGGGCTAATCGGCACAGTCACGACTCGATTACACAAATATTTCTGGCTTCCCGGATGTTATTGGTGAGAGGACTCCCTTTCACATCACATTGCTCTATCTAAACGAGGGCTTTCAAAATTTAATTTAACATAAAATACGACGCGAATTGAACAGTTAAGTTGGTACAAAGCCTCATCACAATGTTTTTTTACGAGGAAATGTCACTGAAAATAAACTTGTGCTTTGCAGTTTGCATGCAGAGGTATATCTCTACAACGAGCAACCACCAGGAGATTCTTACACGAACAACACTCTGCAAGAGGTTGACGGTACAACCAAAATCTTAAGGGAATGCGCCGAAGTAGAGTAGGCGATACTCTACAAGGCTGATTCACACCACGATGTATTTGATGAAACGGCCGCAAACAGCATCACCATCTTGGCGAATTTCCATGTTCTTGGTGACGGAAACATCGGCACGGCATTCCCTAAAAATCGGACGAGTATTCTGTGATGCGTGAAATGGGTCCTGCCAATTATAGAATGTCTACCCCGGACCGGGAAGGGGAGCACGGGGTACATTGGGAGGCACGTGGCGGTCAACGCAGGCAAAGCGATGGAGTTGGGATCGTGGGACATGGGGAGGGTGAAGGAAAAGGTGGAGGTAGCACCGGGAAGCAGTGAGCGCACACATGAGTCAGCAAAGAGGAGCAGGGGCAGACATGGTCCAGTGCTGCTTGAGAGACCCACGTGACGGCACAGCGGGGGACACAGGGCAGCACAGGGGCAGAAAATGAACGACAGAGGATTGAACAGCATGGGATGGCGCGGAAGCGGGGGGGGGGGGCGGGGGGGGCGAGCGGGGGGAGTGATAACATCGGGCAACACTGGGGGGACCATGGGGCAACACCGTTGTGGGGGGCGGGTGTGTGGCGACGCGGGGGGGGGCACGAGACTCAGGGCGCCGCACAGACGCCGGCCCGTGCTGCGTGAGTAATGATCTGCGCAGCGAGGTCAACCCATTACAACCGGAACCGTTTAATTATTAATTACCATCCCCCCCACCTCCTCCTTCCATCCAACCCCCCCCCTTCCATCTCGTAACCCCCCACCATGCACTGCCCCCCCCCCACCCCCGCTCTCACCGCATCCCAAGCCAAACCCGACCGTCATCAGACAACGGAGAAACGCCCCGAGTTTTAGTGGGTGACCGGGGCCAGGCCTCACCACTTAGGCCATTAACACTCCGGGAGAGAGGAGTCCGTGGGGAGGCGGGCGCAGGAGAATGGAGGAGGACGAAGACAGCAGAAGGCCGGCAGGGGGGGTGGGGGGGGGGGCACCGATCGGGGCAGCAGTGTCACACGCTGGGCGTGAGCGGCGACACGTGCACGCTTGCCCAAAAACCAACGCGAGCACACGCAAAGTGACTTTAGGAGTTGCCGTTTGTTGTTGTCGTTGTTGTTGTGGGCCACTTGGCGTATGCCGGGGCCTTTGGGGCTGCGATATTTTTTTGTGTTCAATTTAAAATGCGCGCGGGGACGATGGGCAGACTCGCGGGGAGCATTGGTGTTATGGAGAGGAGAGGCTGCTGTGGATGAGCCCCATCTGCACCCCCCCCCCCCCCCCCGCCCCCGCCCAGACTCTTTCCTCCCTCCCCTGGCTGACAAGGAGCCAATGCCTGAAACGTTAACCCACTACAGTGCGCATTTGTTACCGAGCAAGTGCTCATGGCAACAGTGGAGGTGAAGGGGGGGGGGGGAGGTGCCATTGCCGTCGTGGTTAAGCAACAAGTTCATGATCATCAGCAGCAGCCGGACTCAATCCACTGCTGGAGCAGTTGCCATTCTTCACGGCCCTTGCGATGCAACAGCCCATCTTGCTGTCGCCAGACGAGCCTAATTTCTCTCTGGGGCGGACGCCTTCCGCCCTGTCCCCACCCCAGAGCCGTTTCCCTCCTTCGGCTGTACACTCTGCTGTTGGCCTCGACCGCCGGCCGTCGTGCCTTCTGGCGCCGTGTCGTGCCCAGGTCAGTCGATCGATCGGAGTTGCGAGGTAGTCGACGGGTACCGTCGTGCCCCTGGCAGACGACGAGCGGCCCTCAGGTAATGGCGAACGGTGCTGTGGGCCACGTCCGGTTCCACGCCGCTGTCTCGGCAGCGCCGTTGTCCCTGCCCAAGCACCCCGCGCAATTCCACGGGGTCCCGAACTCGCAGTCGTTCTGAGCCCGCGTTTCTCTACGCCGAACTGCCTTCGCCTCGCCACCAGATCCGAATCGGAATATTTATACATGCCAGAGGAACCCGAAGAGCTATGAAGCTCATTTTTCACACATGTCCAGCAGATCGATACAGTGCTCGGAGAAACCCAGTTGGTTGCCGTACTGACCCTGCGCCAGGCGTCACCCCCCCCCCCCCCCGCACCTCGAGGCGCCGCTTCACCACTGGGCAGACGGGAGGCTCAGAGGCATGGAGACGCATCAAGGCTTCCCATCCCTGGGTGATCCACCCACTCCAGCTCCCAGGCCGAGCCCCGTTCACTTACTTAAGCGCGTTAACGAGCCACGCACGT